CCTTGCAGGATCCTAGGGTTGTATCCTTCTGTTCAAAAAGTGATAACAGTAAGGGAGTTAAAAGCTTCATTTTGCTTTTAGAGTCTGATCTTGCAGCAGTTCCAAAGTGTGTATAATCATGTAAGTAGATTCTCTGCTTGTGAAAGAACACAAGAAAGGCCAGTCTGGTTTTGTCTATGGTCCATACTTGGATGTTTTGTCTCTGATAGAGTGTTTGAATTTGCTGTCATCTACTTTCACTTGAGGGACTTCTGGAAACTGTTGCAGTTTATCTATTTACTAAAGTTCACTAGATCTCTTGTTCGGGACTTGTTCAGTCTTCCATGCAATAGTGATAAACTCTTTGTATTCATAACATCTTTCCCAAGGAGATCTGTAAGTTTACCAGCTGTTGCATGAAGAGCCTTTTACAGTTAGCCCTTTTTATGTCCTGTTGGCCACCATGCACACTCATCACCAAGCTTTGCAGTGAAGACATATGCAGTACATTGACATGGCCTGTAAAGTCTATAAAGCTGTATGTCTTCTGAGCAAAACCCCTCGAGCAGCCTCTTGTACCATGGGCTCCATGAACACTGACTTGTGCCTTGTGAAGTAGATAGGTACCTCTGCTGTGCTAAAAGAAAGTTCTTCTGCATTTTGCGAGGAGCTTGAACTCATCTGAGGTTGCTGACGTGCCCTTGGAAAGCCCTCCCAAGCAGAACTCTTCCAGGCACTTGCCTGGAGCAGTGGTTTGTTTTCAGCTCCAATCTGAGCTAAGAGGAAGGCAGAGCTGTCCCTGGTGAGCAGTGAGCAGCCTGCACAGGGAACAGTGCTCAGGTCCCCGTGGAACTTATTCAGGCACCGTGGTTAGATACGCAGCTGAGTGGAGCACAACTTTAGGTGTTGGTGTTACAGTTATGCCTTGTGGAAGGCACTTAAAAGTCCTATAATCTTTAGCAGTAGTATTAATAAATATTAAAAATTGCCCCTGCACTTAGATTTGTAGGGAAAAAAAAACCAAAACAAAAGCAGAGAGACCTCCCAGGCTATCTAAGTCAATGCTCTTTCATTCTTTCTAGATGTGGTACAGCACATAAGTGAGCAGAAGTATATCCACTTCACACAGTTCATTTTCCAAATACCTGTAAGCTGCCTTCAAAAAACATGTCTAATACTGAATCTACTCTGATTGTCATATTTAAATCAAATATTTTCTATCTATACGATGATCTTATGAGACCTCACCTGGAGTATTGTGTCCAGTTCTGGTGTCCTCAACATAAAAAGGACATGGAGCTGTTGGAGCAAGTCCAGAGGAGGGCCACGAGGATGATAAGAGGGCTGGAGCACCTCATGTGTGAAGACAGGCTGAGAAAGTTGGGGCTGTTCAGCCTGGAGAAGAGAAGACTGCGTGGAGACCTCAAAGCAGCCTTCCAGTATCTGAA